TCCTTCGATGCTCTCGGTGTCTGGGTTCTGAACCATCAAGGGCCCATTGACACGTTGTGTGGCCGCCTGAGCCATTGTAAGCTGAAGGCAATGGACAGCAGTGTACGCTGAATACTAACCCCTGAACTCGGATGTACCTCCAAAAAGGGTGTAATGGTCGTACCATGTGGGAATAGGATGGGTCCCTCCTTCACCCGCTACAAGATCAAGAATATCAAGTGGTTGCCCCGCGCGCAGACAGCGACACAAACTACTAACCATGTTTTGAAGTTTCTCCCTGTCGTTTGAAATGAGTGTCTGGCGGCGGAAAATTGGATATGCAGATGCTAACTTGAGACGATCAACTTTGGCCTGAGATCCATTGGTATTGGCAGCCTGAGAGGTCAATGCCGTTGATGGGCTCGGGGTCCTTGAATAATTCCCAACGGAGAAATTACAAAAATCGTACCCATCGTGATGAACGACACCACCTGCTCTCACAGCTGACTCATAAGAGGGCGGTCTTCCTTCTCGTTTCCGTTCCGAAGTAGTCTGGGGACTCGAACATTACTAGTACTTTGAAAGAGCTCGGAGGGAAAAAGATACATGCCTCGATGGCTGCCGCCAGTCGATGAGACTCAGTACTCCACTTCGAGGCGAGTTTGCGTGTCTCGATGCTAAGGTCCCCCTGCTGCGAGTCTTCAATGATCTTCTGACAAATCTCATCGCGTTGGGCGGCATTTCTGTTGTGGTATCGGTAAACGTATTTGGGACATATTTTACGACTTTCTGGCGCATTGTGTGTATGGTAGTATGGAGTTCCGTCTGATCCCAGTATTCTCTTGTCTCTTGAACGTTGTCGAGGCTCTTGTCCATCACTTTCAGTGTTTTTAATGCTGTGGTTGCAGGCGAACGTATGAAAGCTAGCGCCATGGTGGGGGTAGGAGAAGAGATCGAGGCCCCCGTGACGACACCATGCTGAGCTCTAAGTTTGCACTAACATGAGGTTCGAACCAAGTAGTAAGATGCAAGTAAGTTTGGAACTGTCCTCTGATAGGGCCGGCTTGGGGCCGGCCAGACGGCCATCAAAATAGGACACCTTGCCTCATGTCAATGACATGGAGGTAAATGTCTGCGCCGCGCGATTACCACCTATTGGAGCGCTCGACCCACGAGCTGTACTGGTTCGACCGTCGCGACTTCTTGGAGGCCGCAGGATATCGCCTCAGACCTAAATTTCATCCGCATTTTATTCCGGATGTTGGTCGTCGCGCGTTGGAAGACTATGAAGCCACTCATTTTGTGCGTCTTCGAATTGCTACATGACTTTCTCTCCGCTGACACCCCCATAGAAGCGGACCTTAATGGATGCACACCGGATGTCAGACAACAAGCCTGTTATGCTTAAAATCGTGTCCACGAGTGTCCACCCTCACGAAGTTGAAATTGCCAACCTCTTCTCATCTCCCGAACATGCCAAAGATCCTAGAAACCACTGCGTACCTATTCTGGAAGCTCTTCAAGATCCTGAGGACCCCGACAAGCGTATCCTGGTCATGCCTCGATTCATTGGCTTCTGTGAACCCAAATTCGACACGGTCGGGGAAGTGATCCATTGCTTCAGGCAAATATTTGAGGTTTGTGACTCTTCTTGCTTTTCGGCCACCACTGACTTATCATAGGCCTTTGAATTCATGCACGAGAACTTCGTTGCTCATCGGTATCTGCGTAAAACTCTCCGCTGACACTATCTAACACAACCCGTTTGTTTCTGTGTGTAGGGACTGCAGCCGACTCAACATCGTTCAAGACCCTTCCCGTCTCTTCCCTTCCGGGTATCACCCTGTGCATACCTGGCAGTCTGCCACGTCCGATTGGCCTGCTCGTTATATCACCCGCACGGAATGCTGGCCACGTTATTTCGTGATCGACTTCGGTCTCTCGAGACAATATGATCCCTCAGACGGGCCGCCGCTCGAATATGTCATCATGGGAGGCGATAGGTCGCCTCCGGAATTCAGAACCCACCAATTGTGCAATCCATTTCCGACCGATATATATTGCTTGGGCAACCTTTTGAGGAAATACTTCCTCTTCTCTCAGAAAGAGAAACTCCAAGTGTGTGTCTCGCTTTCCACAAGTTTGGTCACTTAGATTCTCCAGGGTATAATCCGCCCATCTCTGAGTTTCTTGGAGCCCCTGGTCACTGAAATGACATCGCTGGATCCCTCGATGCGACCTACCATTGGGGAGGTATGCGAGCGCTTTGACAAACTGTGCAGTGGCTTGACCTGGTCGCAATTACGTCAGCCAGGCCAACGGCATTCATTCCGTTTTTACCAGCGCGTACGCCAGGTCTGGCGGACAATATTTTTTGTCCGTCCGATTCCGCGGTACACTCCTCGAGCGGATCGACCACGATTGAGCAAGGAGTTGCGTGATTTTTACACGCAGATACCGCTGGACAAGGGTGATTTTCTCTGGCCAGAATCTGAAAAGAGTAGTGCTTCCTAGCTCAGAAGCGGTTGTGTTGTCTGATATTCGAGTTGCCTATACACAGATAGTAGAAGGCGTTACTATCAGTCATGAGTAAGACTATTTAGAACGACAACATGTAAGTAGCGACAATTATACACATAACGAAGGACTATCAGACACCTTGCATTGCCAGTGATGTCGTCAGCCGCCGCAATAATGGGACCCACAGACCCTTGTTCCACGACAGACGGGAGGTGTTTGCTTGTGTGCTTGTAACACCAACAGCCGACGCTGTCAGTTGAGAGCCAAGGTCCAAGAGGCAGTCGGGCCACGGCTCAAAGCTAGGTTCAAGTTTGCCATTTGGTTCTGAATCGTGGATGACTGCTTTCCAGCTCGGTGTGGCGCATCCGTAATGAAAGAATGCACAGACTCAGAGCCGCGACGAGACGAGTCGAAAAATCCCTGGAACAAGCATACCATGTACCTGTCTACCTGCGATTATGTAACCTCAGGCTCAATGTTACATCAGCCGTCCAACCACCCCCCTCATAGGCTGATTTTTACAGTCTGACTCGGGAGACAAGGCTCAATGTCGGCATCAGCCGACGAGGATGGAACGAGGAGCAAGCTGAAACGGGTGGCCAGGGCCTGCGATATGTGTCGACGCAAGAAACGTCGTTGTGCGTAATAACTGAGACTGTTTATTCTGACATTCATCGAACTAGGTAGCGGTGGCGATCCTTGTGGACATTGCAAGAAGCACGACTTTGTTTGCACCTATCTTGACCAGCCATTCGATGGTCAGCAAGATCCGCGACCCTCCGCTGCCTACGTTGCTGCACTCGAAGCCCGTCTCGAGACCGTAGAGGACTTGCTGCGCCAAGCAAGGGCTGCGAAAAGTCCGGGTGTCCAACTCATCAACAACGCCATCCAACGACTCAATAATCCGTTTCCGGAGCCACATTCCGATGATTTAGCATTCACGCAAATCGAAGCAAGCTTTAAAGCACTTTCTATCAACCACCCCGCAGCCCAGGGCTTCCAGGGCAAGTCGAGCGGGGGAATGCTTGTCAAAGCTGCCGTAGATCTTTGGAAGAAAGATGGCACGTTACCCTCGAGCAGTCCGGAGTTTGATAAAAGGGTGCGTTGATTCTTTTTCCCTGCTACTACAAGCTAACAGAGAATAGTGGGAGAACACTCCAGACACCCCTCCAAACTCGAGGGTGGGGAGACCTTGCCCCAGCCAGCTCCTTCCCGGACGAAGATCTGCTGGAAACCCTCATTGCTCTTTACTTCGACAATGTCAATGCCTTTCTCCCACTCTTGCACCGACCCACTTTTCAAGCGGAGGTCACACAAAAACTCCATTTGCGACATGGCGGGTTCGCCAAGACCGTTCTTCTCGTTTGCGCTGTTGCAGCACGATACTCGACGGACCCTCGGGTATCCTTGACCAATGTGGATGTTTCTCCAGCTGAGACTGCTGGTTGGAAATGGTTTGACCAAGTCCAACTTACGGGACATTTGGTCCACAAGACCCCTACCTTGCACGATTTACAGTGTTATTGCGTGCGTAGACTTGGTCTCTTCTTCACGCGGGCTGACGGTCGGCCAGCTAGCAGCCGAATTTCTGGACTGTACATCAACTCCGCGCGTAACCTGGACATTGGTTGGGTTTGGGGTCAGACTCAGCCAAGACATGGGGGCTCATAGGTACAAGAAGCACGAACGCCGGCATCAATTCGAACAAGAGTTGGAAAAGCGGGCATCGTGGATCTTGTTTTTGTTCGAGTCCCAAATTAGCACCGCGCTTGGGAGAACATTTGCATTGCAATCCCACGAGTAAGCGATTCTTCGATCATCTTCATTGTAAATGGTTCAACTCCCACTAGTTTTGATATCCAGCTACCTATCCTGTGCGACGATGAATATTGGGGTAGCGCAGACGATTCTTCGGTTCCATTGTTTCGCCAGCCAACGCAACAGCCATCGCGCATTGACTATTTCGTGTTCATGCTGCAGCTTAATCGAATACTGTCCTTCAGCTGCAAGATTCTGGTCGTCTTTCCACCCTCTTGTTCTCTTCTGCCGCTGACGCTGTCGCTAGTACTCATCAAATCGAAGCAAATCTCTCATCGGACTTGGGGATGACCAATGGGAAGAACAAGTCGTCGTCGAACTTGACTCAGCCCTCAATAGGTGGTTCGAAGCACTTCCACCACACCGTATGTTGCCCCAACTTGAAGTTGCAAATTGAAGTAATCTGACATCTAACTAAGTCCAGTGGGGGGGTCTCGTGACTCTTTACCACCACCATGTGGTTGGTGAAGTAGAGAGGACGAGCCCCCCCGCTGTGCTCAGGGACGCCCAGAGCACAGCGGGGCGACCGCCGACGTCGGAGCCCCTCGCTGACCGCGATCCCGCGACCTGGGGACGTCGACCGACGTCAAAATGAGCTGACCGCTCGGCCAATGGCCCAGTTGTAAACACAACTGTTATATATTAAACATTACAATGAACTATAAGCATGCTGGGAAATACACATGCAGAAGGCGTGCAATGCGCGTGCAGCACATGAGACAAACTCAGAGGCACGAGGCAGAGAGAGGAAAAACTTTTCTCTTCTTGCCGTCACGCTGGAATCTGCGGAAAGCGAGAAACGCAAGGTGGGCAAGACCGCAGAGGACCAGTCAGCCCCCGACAACCTCCCAGGGTCCCGCAACAACCCCGAGAAAACCACCCCCGCGAACCGCAAACGTCCCGGTCAGAACAACCAGGAGCGCCCACTCATACCTAGCTTCAACATCCTCGACAGCCAAGGCAACCCTACCCCGCTCACATTAGCCGACCTAGACGACCCCATGCCGGAGCCAGACGACGTGTTTGGAAGTGGAGGCGGGGGAGGTGGAGGGGAGAAACGAGGGGATGAAATGAGCACAGACGGCACGGACAAGCGCCCCGTGAAGAACATCCCATTCGTCTTTCCAACGCGGGACCAGTTCCTGGCCCGCAACCCAGAATTCAGGGGAATGAACCCCCACAAAATCCTCCCTGCATACACTCCACCAGACCCAGAAGGCCCGAACGACCTGACGCGCGAGCAGACGTATGCTCCGAATAATGGCGAGTACCCGGCGGCGGTAATCTCAGCAGATGATATCCTCGAGAACGTCCATCCGGCAGTCGCGGACCCCATCCGCAAGGAACCCAGCAAACACTTGGCGGTAGTGGTATTCCTCGGTGGCTGGCTCGCGGCCAACGCGTATAAAGGCATGTCGACGATAATCAACAAGGTTAACGACTATCTCACTCGGGGAGGCATCATCCGCGAGGGCGACGTCCGGTTCTTCCCCCTCACGGCAAAAATCCAGACACCCTACGCAGGCCCGTATACACCGCCATTCGCCTTCGGGGCCAAGATTCTGAACGAGGCGGTTCGCGAGGTGCTGCTGGGCATCAATGTATTCCCCTTCCTCGACGACCCCGACAAACTCACAGTCCGCTTCGTGGAGATCGACCTAAAGGCCATGTCGTGGGCAATAGGCATATTTCACCCAGAGATCCAAGGGGGAGACTCCGAGTCGGCGGAGATCCTGCGCTGGGGTATAGCCGAGTTTGCCAGAGACGACAAGCCATTCAGACTGGCTTTTCAGCGTGCCACGGGCCACATGAGCACGGAGCCCTTCAATGAACGAATCCTCAAGTTCCTGAGGACAATTGAAGCACGCTATGACGAGAGGCACAACCTGTGGAAGGTTTACGGAAAGCCGCCAACCGACAGCATAAACGGGTGGGAGCTTATATGTGCGCACATCCGAGTTCGGCGCTTCATAGGCCCAACCAATGCATTTGACCCGGCCACAAAGGCGAGACAAACTGTCTCGACCGGACAACCCATCCTGTTCGAACAGCTACGCCGACTCGAAACTGAAATGCCGTGGTGCTCGATCTGCTCAAATAACGACCACCTATACTGGTGCTGTGAATTCCCGAACACCGCTGACTGGCCGGGCCCCACTGTCCTGATCAAGGACATGAAGACCCCGACGCTGAACCGTGGAGCACTCCCAAACGACGCGGGACCCAGACAAAACGCGCATAGCCGGGGCCAGACACCAATCGCAATCAAGCCGGAGCAGCCAGTGAAAAAGGGTGGTAAACCGCAGAGGGGCGGACGCTGAATCAACGCGCTGGAATAGTACACATTTGTCGAACAATATACATGCCACTAAAATATATGTTTTTTGCCTTCTAAAAACAGGATGCAAGTAATACCTAGCGCTGGGCTGGAAGAAGTCGCCTCGTAAGAGGCGCGCCCCGAACCCGCCACATTTACTGACTGCACGCCTGGCGTGCAGGACAGGAAACGGGGGAGGGTTTGCGTGCTCGGATCGGAGGCCCCCGGCCTCCGAGATGATGAGTACGCCGCAACGGTGGGCCTGTTTAGGCCAGGGTACACCGGCCAGCAGTCCTGGCAAGTAGTGAGGGAAGGCTATAGCCCCAGCAGCTTTAGCCAGAAGTCACGACAAACCCACATATACGAGGCGTAAAGGCCGCAAGCCCTAGCGAGGAAGCGGTCAGCCCAAAACACACGCAGTCGACACCACAAGAAGCACAACAAACCCACCAGGACAGACAACGGCAAACGGCAACGCGCATGCAAGTGCTCGAGGAGTTGATCGCTCCGCTACCGGCGATCGCAACTCCGAGGACAGCACTGGCGGAAGAGGAGGAGATGGTGCAAACGACACCCCGGAGATGCCGAGGGTGCCAGATCCCGAGAGGGAGCAACAACAAACCCCAAGACGCATCGATGATGGGGTTGCCGATGCACAAGCGACTAACAGTCGCACCGGTGTACCGCCCGATTTGGCGACACCAGGGCACGACCAGCCCCGGCACGACCCGCCGATGGCCCGACAGGCCCCAACAGGTGTACCGCCCGATTTGGCGACACCGCGGCATGACCAGCCGCAGGCACGACCAGCCGTAGGAGAAATCCTGGCCCGAGACCAAGGGCCGGCGCACGACCAAGCGCAAGGCCAAACGGCCGCACAGACCCGCGCTCCCATAACGGTACCCGTGGGGAGACAGGCACCGCTCCGCCGCAGGCAGGAAGAGTTTCCGGGCCCCCCCAGAAATGCAATGAGCCCCAACCAGGGCACAAAACTAACAAAGGCGTCAATGAAGCTCGGCGCCATCAACATAAATGGTCTCGGGAACACTAACTTCTGGCACCCAGACAACAAGTGGTTCCACTTGTGGCAGGCCATGCGCGAGAATAAGATAGGCGTCATGGTTGTAGGGGAAGCACACCTTAACCAAAGCCGACATAATGATGTCGAGTTCCTATTCGGTAGGGTCCTGAGGGTTATGAATTCGGAGAATCCGGAGTCTGCAAACGCAGCAGGGCTTGCATTTGGACTAAACAAAACACTTGTCAAAACAGAGACAGCAAAGACGACAGAGATAGTACCCGGAAGGGCAATGCTGTTGGAAGTCGCCTGGCATGACGACCGCCCACTGAGCATCCTTGGAGTGTACGCCCCAAACTCACCAGCCGAGAACGCAGAATTCTGGGAAAAGATAGACAGGTTTTTCACCGAACACCCCCATGTGCAGAAGCCAGATGCGATGGCGGGCGACACGAATATAGTTGAGGACACCATCGATCGACTGCCTGCGCATGCGGACTCGGCGCTTGCAACGGCGGCGCTTGACACACTAAAGTCACATCTGGGTTTGAACGACGGCTGGAGAGAGACGTTCCCGACCAAACTAGAATACACCTACCTCCAGAAGGCCACAGGAGCCCAATCCAGAATAGACAGGATTTATGTAACGGCGGACATGCTAGAGAGTGCATATGAGTGGCAGATTCGCCCGCCGGGATTTAATACTGACCACAAAATGGCAACAGTAAGGTTGACCACGGCGGAAGCGCCGACTACGGGGCCCGGAAGGTGGGTATGGCCCAAATGCATCATTGGCGACAAGAAGCTCACCGAGTACATTGAGCAACAGGGCAAGGCATTCCATGCTGAGCTAAGATTCGTCAGAAGCCAGCCGCGCGACAGAGAACATAACGCACAGACGCTCTACGCAGAGTTTAAGAAAAGAATTCTAGCCTTTGCCCGTAAAAGGGCAAAAGAGATTGTGCCCCGCCTGGATAAGGAAATACAGGACACGGAGAATAAGTTAAATAGTGTAAGCACAAATGCTACACTGGGACCGGAGGAGAAGACACAGCGCATGGCCGCGCTGACAGACGAGTTGACGGCCAAGTATCGGAAACGCCACCGTCGACGGCGCCTAGATGCCCAGATTCAGAACAAACTGGAAGGAGAAGTCATAGGCAAATACTGGTCTGGCATCAACAAGCCCAGAAAGCCCCGCGAAGTGATCCATCGACTGAGGAAGCCATCAACGAGTGGAGATGGACAGCCCGTATACGAGACATCATCTCAGGGCATGGCGGACATCGCACGAGACCACCATAGGAGACTGCAAGATGACGGTGTCAACGAGACAGACGAGGTCGAGAGAGCACAGGCAATTGAGTGTGTGTTGAGCCGCATCAAAGCGAGACTGACCCCCGACCAGGAAGAAATAATGCGACGCCGCACATCGCGAGAGGACGTTGTCGAAGCGCTCAACAAATCTGCAAATGATAAGGCGGCAGGACCGGATGGGATCCCATACGAAGTGTATAAATCATTGGCAGCAAGGTACGAAACACTCGAGAAACAGGCCCGACAGGCATTTGATATGGTTGGTATGCTGCAGGCAGTGTACAATGACATCGAAACACATGGGCTGGTTAAAGATACCAACTTTGCGGAGAGCTACATGGCACCGCTATACAAGAAAAATGATCGTGCGGAAATCGCGAACTACCGGCCTATCACGCTCCTCAACACAGACTACAAGGTGTTCACAAAGTCACTCACCCTCAAGTTGGGAAAGATAGCCCCTGACATCATACACCCAGCGCAGGCTGGATTTGTACCAGGCCGCCAGATCTATGATCAAATATGGCTCACAAAACGCATCCTCGACCTGGGTGAAGTCTCGGAACTGAGCGGGGCGGTGGTCGCGCTGGACCAGGAGAAGGCATATGACAAAATTAAACACGACTACTTATGGAAAGTACTCGAGACGTTTGGCCTACCACATGAATTCATAAATACTGTACGAACACTGTACTCCGATGCTCACACTAGAGTAGCTATCAACGGCGTCTTCTCGAAACACTCATACAAGGTGGGACGGGGGGTATATCAAGGGGACCCACTCTCCTGCCTCCTATTTGATCTCGCGATTGAGCCGCTAGCTGAATCGCTACGCCAATCTGATCTACAGGGGTTGAAAATCCGGGGCGTGGAGGACAAGATTATTGCGTCCCTGTTTGCGGATGACACTTTGGTGTACTTGTCGGACAACGACGACTATGGAGACCTGCTGGTAATACTAGATGAATGGTGCTTGGCGTCAGGAGCGAAGTTCAACAAAACAAAGACGGAAATCATACCGGTTGGCAAGCGCGAAAAGCGCGAACGTCTCCGAGAGACCAGACGCCTGAATGGCGTGAACGGTATGGAGATACCTGCCGACCACAAGATAGCAGCAGAGAGAGAGCCAATACGCACGCTGGGCGCATGGGTGGGTAACGACCTAGAACAAATATCAGTCTGGACCCGAACCCTGGAGAAAATAGACAACTCCCTTGACCAGTGGGAATTGGGTCACCCAACAATGGAGGGGAGACGCCTGATAATCCTTATGGTCGTTGGCGGAATGACACAGTACCTGACCAAGGTTCAAGGCATGCCGGAGGAGGTCGAGAAAAAGCTTGAGAGACGAGTGAGAGACTTCCTTTGGGCGGGAAAGAAATCGCGCACCATTAATGCCGAGACGATATATGCGCCAAAGGATGAGGGTGGAAGGAACCTTCTTGATATCGTGGCGCGGAACGAAGCCATTACAGTCATGTGGCTGAAATCATATCTCAAGACAGGCCACGATCGCCCGCTTTGGGCGTTTGCCGCGGACGAATTAAACGCCCTCAACATCCTGGGAGATGACCGTGGCGTAGTGGACCCGGACCTGAGGCTCCACGTGTTCCTGCAATCGTGGAACTCAGGGTCCAGAACTAACCCGCTCCCGAAGGATATAGCACGGCTGATGAAAGCCGCCCAAGACCATGACGCGCGCCTTGAAGGGCTGTGCTTCCAACGCGAAGTCCAGCGACAACTGCCCATATGGTTCCACATCAAGTCGCGAGCGACAAATCGGGGAGTCTTCAACAACGGAGCGGAAGCGAGATGTCTCCGCGAGAACCACAGGGTTGTCACAGTCGGGGAAACGGAAGTGCTCGCCAGACGCCTGGAGTCCGCACAACATAGACCGCGCCGCAACTGCGCTTGCGCGGGATGTTCAACAACAAGGGATGACTGCCCCCGTTGTGAGTCACCACACAAGTGCTTCGTGAAAGCGAGGAGCTTGCTAAATACCCTACAGGACAAATGGAATCCGCTCAGGGACCAACCTGGAGACAATCCGACCCCTGGGACAGCGGACAGGGAGCTTAACGGGAAGGAGCACATCTTCCAACCACTACCAACGGAATCGGAAAAGCTCGAGGATGCATTCCGGATCTTCTGTGGCGGCGAAAGAGGAATACACAGCCCCCCAGACCTTGACAAGGCAGTTGAGCCCGACGAGGAAGAGATCGTGGTGTACACAGATGGATCGGCAATGAACAACGGACAAGCAAACGCCCGGGCTGGAGCGGGGCTGTTCTATGGAGAAGGCGACATCCGCAACCGGGCCATACGGGTCCCTCCAGACCTGAAGCAGACCAATCAAACGGGTGAGCTGCTGGCAATCGTTGCTGCAGCGGAGGACAACCCCACTGACATTCCGCTGAAGATCCTCAGCGACTCGAAGACCACCATCGACGGCCTTACGATTCACCTCTCCCGATGGGAGAGCGAAGACTTCAGACTCACAGAGAATGGGGAGCTGTTTAAACTGGCAGCGGCGCGAATACGCCAGCGCTCAGCGCCAACGGTCTTTGAGTGGGTGAAGGGGCACTCGGGCAACGTGGGCAACGATGGCGCTGATGCCCTGGCAAACGAGGGCGCGATGAAACCAAGCGCAAGTGACTTATTCGACACCACCATCCCTGCCGAACTCAGACTACCCGGGGCGCAACTCTCGAAAATGACACAATCTAAAGTTTACAAGATACTGCGACAAACGAAACAGGCCCTCCCCGCATACCGCAAGAAACTGCAGCGGACAGACACGACATCCAACATTGAGCGCGCCCGACAAGCGGCAACCGATGCGAAAGGCAACGCCCCGACAGCGAGGCTGATCTGGAAGGGCACAAGAAACCAGATTTTCGGCCGCAACATCCGCTACTTCATGTGGATGCTGCTGCACAACGGCTACAAGGTTGGGAAGTACTGGCGCAATATACCAGGCTATGCGGAGAGAGAAATGTGCTTGGGCTGCCATACGGAGGAGACTATGGAGCACATACTCACCAAGTGCCCTGCAACTGGGCAACACTATGTCTGGGACCTTGCGGCAGCACTCTGGCAGAGGAAAACCGGAGCACTGACAAGGGTGACGTTTGATGAGATACTCGCGTGCGGCGCGATTAAGAAGTATGGCCGTAACGGCAAGGTCGACAAGGCGCTGACCCGACTCTATAGGATTATAGTCTCCGAGTCGGCATATTTGATATGGCAAATGCGCCACGAATACCGAATCCAGCGAGACAGTATGAATCCAGTAAGCGAGCGGGAGGCGCACAACAGATGGTACAGGCAACTCGATATGCGGCTCGAGCTGGACCGCCAGATGACCAATGAACGGAAGTGGAAGAGGAAAGCTCTCAAGGCGTCACTAGTGATCAGCACCTGGCGTCGGGTCCTTGAGAATGAAGGCACACTCCCGGTGGACTGGGCGAGTCCCACCGTCGAGCTCCAGGTTTTGGTGGGTCGGGAGGTGATGATGATGGGATAGTTAGCTATCCCGGAGCACCTCTCCAGCCCCACACGACGCGACCGGCGAGCCGTGACGGCAGACCGGCGTATGTGCAATTGTGCATTTCCTGGGGGTGGCTGTGTCGAACGGGGTTTCTTGTTTTTGCCTCGTACCTTAACTTCGGCTTTTGGAAGACGATTGGATCGGCTCCGGTGATCCCCAAGGGGTGAGGAGGACAACTGTATATGTATTCATGTACAGGGTACTTCTAAATGCTATCTAAGTTCCACAGAACTAAGTCCAGTGGAACCCCGATAGCCTCCTTGAAGACGACATCTTCTTCGACCAGTCGGCAGCCTTGCATTGCAGTTACTATCACACACGGATCGTTATTCATCGGCCGTTCATACCTGCGATGCGACGAGAATCCAATCCTGCTGTTTGCAACCACTTGTTCGACTTTTACTATTTCCTTTTTAACCTACTTTACAGCATCTCCCTTCGCTCGCTCTCTGTAATACTGCAGCGCGAGCGTGCAGTCATGTGGCGGAGATTCAACAGAAACGTCGTCCCAACAACCCGATCTGGTTCAGCCAGGTCAAGACAACAAACTGATGTTCCGCGCAATGCTGACTTTTTTGCCAGACACCTTTGTTTACCGCAGGAATCGTCTTGCTTCTGAATATCTGGGGGTGGTGGCCGATCGAAAGCTGCTGAAACAGACATGGCCGATGTAACGCTCCAGTCTTTTTTTTTCGTTAGTTGGCCTTGACATTGATGTATGGTAGCCATTACATTGCGTGCGGATATAGTAGATCTGGGACTCTATCTCTCCGTCGTTGGAATCACCAACGTTCTGAGAGATTAGTCAATCAAGGGAGAAAATAGTGCTGTTGAAAATAACTGCACACATGATCTGGAGCGTTATTTACTTACCGGATTGCGGTGATTTCCGATTAGTGACGGAAACTTGACAAAATCAGTCTATATCGTAGTCAAGGACAGCCTGAGGACTACTCAACTGGTTTCGCAGACCGGATTCTCATTGAAGTTGCCTGAATATAATGGTTTCCGCTCAGCGCTAGCAATCGGGTTTGATGCCAGACAATTCAGTGTTCATGACCCCAGAGCGGGTTTGCGACCGAGTTTTCTGTACATCATTATGGTCAGTCAGTGTGGTTCGTCAAAAACTCACGAGACTGACTACAAGTTATGCGCCTCGGCGTCTTGATCAGTTGGAAACTCGACGTAGGACCCATCCTGACTCGGACATTCAGTGACCATCGCCAGACCGCGTGCTCGTGTTTGTTGAACCGAAGGCTGGAATGAGAGAGACCTTATGTCGTGACGATTTTGCGGTGCCCTCCGAACGGTACTTCGATGATAACCCAAAGCCCACGCTAGCCGTTCTTGAGAATACTTACTGCACTTCACATGCCAGCCTTCGAGCGATTGCGCGGTCAGTCTGGGCCAAGACACAATTTTTAGCGCCAAGTCTGGCGGTTCTGGAGTCCTATGAGCAGCCATCGTTGAGATCCACAGAAGACAGGTGCAGTTTGACTTGGATTTTGGGGACGTAGCTCGGTTGCTTATGTGATTGGCTACAACGCGTGTATAATCCGCCATCAATGCTCGAAATTGTTGGACGGATAGTCGGCCGTGGTGAAAAAGTTGCGAGAATGAGCTGGTGGGTCCTTAGGCTGGGCCGCTGTATGCAGCTGGCACCAGCTGAGATCGAAGGAGAAGGACGCGTGCTGTCACACATTTACATTTACATGCTGTCACAATTGCTGTCCCACATTTCTCTCGCCATTCCGGACAGCAACCACATAAGGTCTCAGGCGCATACGCCGAGCCTCTCACCGACCGCAACAGCCCCAGCCCCAACAAGTTCGGGCTTCTCCTGCGCCAGCAGTTGAGTGTTGAGTTGCCAGTCCAGTCCGTCTCCGCTGTCTGACCAACTTGAATAATGCTTTAGGAATATCCTCTATCTCTCCCTTTAGCAAATCGATGGGGCGGCTCGACAAGCATCCCAACTGAAAAACGCCCAACGCCCCGCCAAGTTTATCCCTAATCCTTGCGGCCCGACCCCCCACACAGCCAAGAACACATATCGATCCTAGATGTCTTCACCCCTTCCCAGCAGCCATCCAACAAATTTCTCCCCTTCAGACGCGTTCCTCCATGTGGATGAATAGAACAGCACACTTATCGGCACGAATGAGGGTGTCAGGGGAACCCCCGCTTCCGGCCTCCTTCGGACCCTCCGAACGCATCCGAGGCGCATCCGACCGGCGCCCCCTCGGACGCTCCGACCCACCCCGACCATCGTCCACGGCCTCCTTCGCCCGCACAATCACCGATCCGTCAAGACCCTCCCAACGATCACCTTGGGACAGAGCCTGCGACGCCGCTCAGGCCTTCTGCGCTCTACGTCGGCAGTTACGGACGACCAGTATATAGTTGGCGCCCTAGCAGGCGGACCCTTAGAGTTTCTTCTCTTTGGATCCTCCCCTGCTAGGTCGGTCCCTCCGTGTATTTCCCGTAGCTTTTATTCACGCTTTGGATCCTCCCCTGCTAGGCTTTCGTCGGAGTCTCCAGGGTTGCCCTTACAGCAGAAGAAACTCTCTACGGGATTAACCGGTCAAGATTGCCAGGTTTGGTGCTGACTCAGGCTCGGAGTACGAGTCCGTACCCCCCTCGTCACCGCCCCTGCCACTTGACCCCTCCTCCTCTGCTCTTGTCGTCTTTACGCCCGCTATGTCTACCGGAGCTGCTCCGGACGCTGACGCGCATGGACGCACTTGAGGCGAAACTAGACAACCTCACCAATCTCCTCACCCACCTTGCTTCCCAGGCTTCCGCTGCCGCACCACCTCCGGCAGCTCCCGAACCGCCGCCGGCATCTCCGAATGCCCCCGACGCGGATGCGTTATTTGGTGACATTACTGTCGCCTCAAAACTGGTCTTACGACCAAACCCCCCGTTTGCGTTTAACGGAGATCGCAAACGCGGCCGCGCCTTCCTATACGCGGTCAAAACCTACGCTCGGCTTGCCCCGGAGGCCTTCGTAGTTAACGGAGAGCCGAGCGAAGAAAAGGCCGTCCGCTACGCCATGTCCTATATGGCGGAGGGACCTGCTCAGCAATGGGCAGAGCGTCATGGGAGCAAAAACCCCTTCCCCTTCCCTCGGTGGAGCCAGTTCCTCTCCGAGTTTCGCCTTCGGTTCGTCGAGGAGAACGAACAGGACCTCGCTCGCTAAGTTGGAAAGCGCGGGTTATCACATGGGAACGCGGGATGTCTACGGATATACCGACGACTTCGAGGACTTGATGGACCTCGCTGGCTTCAAGACGCGTTGGTTAAGGTAACCAAGTACCGCCACGGACTTGACCCCTTGATCAACAACGGCATCACCTCTTCGAACGACCCCCCAGACCTCCGTGACTATCTAGGCTGGCGCACTCGGGCTTTCCGACAATATGAAGCCCTGGTGCGAGCGAAGCTCATTAAGGGAACGGCTACCCCGCGGACCGCCGGGAGCTCCCGCGGCGCCTTCCCCATCACTCGTTCGGCAACTCCGTTCCCCATCCGCCCGGTGGCCGCACCTGCGCCACCCGCGGCCCGCGCCCCCGTCCCGGTACCTCCGGCTCCCGTCCCTATGGAGTTGGATCGTACTAGGGCTCGGGGCGCCCCTCGTCGAGCCTGCTTCAGATGCGGCGACCCCAATCACTTGGCTCGGGACTGTCCGCTCCCCGCCGATGTTCGCCATATGGACATCCTCGACGAGGTGATCCAGCAACTTGGCGATGAGATGCTAGGAGAGCTACTTCGCGGTTGTCCGACACCGCGGCCTTAGCAGAAGCGCATTCGGAGGCTCCGGCAGAGGATTTTGTCCCCGCGACGAGTGACTGGTGTGCCCTCGTTCGCGTCCATAAATCGTTTCACTTGTTTGTATGATGAATCAACTCCCTTGCCTTACAACGAGCCTGAAACGAAAGACGCACCCCCTGCCCCCTCCGAAGCCCCCGTTCGGATACGCCGACTTGCCTGGGAGAAAAAGCTACCTGGCAGTTATACCATCTCTGCCGCTCCTGGCGTTAACTCGCTGCACCTCCCCCTTGAACTTGAGTCCACTGCGAACGCGCTCAAGCTCTCCCTCTCGGGTCTGGTCGACTGCGGAGCCACCTGGACTTTATCGACACAGAATACGTCAACCGAAACAACGTGCCAGTCCGAAATCTCTCAGTACCCATACCGGTCTACAATGTCGACGGCACCCCCAATGATGCTGGGTCTATTCGCCAAATCGCGGACCTGGTCCTACGATACAACGGACACTCCGAACGCGTTCAGCTGGCTGTAACCCACCTTGGGAAACAGGACTTGATACTCGGGTACTCCTGGCTCAAAAAGCATAACCCCGAGATCAACTGGGAAACAAAGGAGGTGAAAATGAGCCGCTGCCCCCGAAGCTGCTCCACCTGCCGCGACGAGGAACGGACCGAGCGCGCTGAGGTTCGCCGCCTCCGACTCCTTAAATCGCTTACTTGCGGGCGCCTTCCCCACCGTTTGCGCTATCGATATCGCTGGCCCAGACGATGCCGACGACGAACTCGGAGCTCCTTCGGACCCTCCCGGAGCGCTCACCAGACCTTGACGACGACGAGCATCTTGAAGACGGCGACCGCATCTTCTACACCTCCTTTCGCCCAATCGAGGAGATTCGCGCTGGGAGCACCGTGTCCCAACGCCTTGCAGAGGCCTTCGCCCGTAACTCGGCCCCCCGCCTTCGGAGATTCCGGACTGGGCCAAGGAGTTCCAAGGACGTCTTTGACAAGGAGTCCTTCGACACGTTACCAGAGCGGAGGGCTTGGGACCACGCTATCGAACTCGTCCCCGACGCGAAGCCCGCTAATTGCAAGGTGTATCCGATCTCCCCCCTTGAACAGCGCGAACTTGACGAGTTCATCGAGGAGGGACTTGCCACAGGCCGTATCCGCCCTTCGAAATCTCCGATGGCTTCCCCCGTCTTCTTCGTTAAGAAAAAGGACGGAGGACTTCGGTTTGTCCAGGACTACCGCGCCCTCAACGCAATGACGATTAAGAACCGGTACCCCCTCCCGTTGATTAATGACCTTATCAACAGGCTTAAGGGCGCCCGTTACTTCACCAAACTCGACGTTCGCTGGGGCTTTAATAACGTCCGGATTAAAGAAGGAGACGAGTGGAAGGCGGCCTTCGGACCAACCGAGGGTTGTTCGAACCTTTGGTGATGTATTTTGGCCTGACGAACTCCCCGCGACTTTCCAAACGATGATGAATGACATTTTCCAGGATCTCATTCTCTCAGGAGACGTCATGATCTACCTCGACGATATCCTTATCGCGCATTCGGACCTCCGTAAGCACCGCGAGATCGTCCGCGAAGTCCTTCGGCGACTCCGAATGCACAAGCTGTACCTTCGCAAGGAGAAGTGCGACGAGAAATCGTCAATCGAGTACCTGGGGGTTATCATCTCTCACAACCACGTCGAAATGGATCCCGTTAAGGTTGCCGGAGTCTCCGCATGGCCTCCGCCCGAGAACAAGAAGGACGTCCAGCAGTTCCTGGGGTTTGCTAATTTCTACCGCAGGTTCATTCGGGATTTCTCGGCCCTAGCGCAACCCCTCTTCGCGCTCACCAAGAAAGACCAGAAATGGACCTGGGGAGACGC